CACCCACACACACATGCCCATACAGTACCCGATCCCGATGTGGTCTTACTTACAGTAGAGAGAACGTTTGCGGAAAACATTGTTGTCTCCATCATCAGTATAATAATAATCATATTCGTAGTTGTCGTTGTTGTTGTTGCCGTTATCGGTGTCGATGCCGATGTCGTTGTCGTTGGTGTTGTCGATGTTGGAATCATCGTTGACGACATTGGCGTTCACAAAATCTGTGGAAAATGGAGCGGGGGGGGGGGGGGGGGGAACAAATAAAGTATCTCATCCAATCTGTTGGTTCGATTTTGCTGTGTTCTGAAAAGACTTCAAGTTTGAAATGGAGACTTGCGATTTTTGCTGATATCTGAGACGACGAGAATCTCGGTCCCACCTGCTCTACAAAGAGGATGGATGGAGTGCGCTACTCTTAGATCCTGCTTGTTTTCTTGTCCTTTGCTGTTTCTGTCTATCTTACTTTTCCCTTACTCTGAAAGGACGTCAACACATACCCTATGCTTCTCTTTTAATAACAATTTTCAGACTAAGACTACTTTGATGTGGTGGAAATAAACATGAAACTCTGTCCACGTTCTTAACTATGATCATCGCACTTCTGTCTGACTTACCTTAGAGAAATGTTGACACGCTAAGCTTACTGTCGAATTTACCTTATATAGAATGGTGTATCGCATTTAGCCTACCGTCAGACTTACTTCATAGAAGGGTTTAACAAACTAAGCCTACTGTCTGATTTACCTAAAAGAAGGGTTCACAACACTTAATCTACTATCTGACTTACCTTAAAGAAGGGTCCACAACACTTAATTTACTGTCTGACTTACCTTAAAGAAGGGTCCACAACACTTAATCTACTATCTGACTTACCTTAAAGAAGGGTCCACAACACTTGCTCACTGTCTGACTTACCGGCTGCGAAAGAGTCCATGATGCTCGTGGCCTCGTCCGCTGACAATTGAGCCTCGTGGAGGAAGTTCATGGCCGCCATAGCGCGCTCTCGCTGCTCGTCGCTGTAGCCAGAGGGCATGAGCTGCATCATCATGGCGTTGGTCATCTCGTCCGCTGACTTGAAGTTGACCATACAATTATTATGATTCCTGTACCTGCACTGACCTCGGTTGTTGGCGACCAGAACACAGTGGGTGTAGAACAGGACCAGGTCTTTGCCGGTGAGTTCAGATGACGTAGAGTTGGCCTCTGTGACGTAGAAAGCAGTCATCTTGTTCGCAGTATCATCAAGCATGTCCATTTTGTGCCTGTAAATCGAGGAGACAAGACATTCCAGGTAAGCGATGGAGGCGTTGTTGAGCAGAAGTTTCTTGACCTCGGAGAGTTGCTGTTGGGAAAAGCCGGTAAAGAGTGCCTTCTTCATTGCCGACGTAGAACAAGGGCAACTTGTACCCCGTCTGACTTTACCTGAACTCACAATATCCAGACCATCGCTCGCTTCTCGTCTGTCAACAAAACGTGTAGCGTTGTTGAGTCCACGGGTAGACCTGAACGAGCTTAGAAGGTGGGCCACTTCAGTGCACGAGGAGTGGTCCTCCGCTGAAAGGGCACGCCTTTGCTGGAGAGGGGAAGAGTTCGAATCCTGTGGCCGTCCGCCTAGATCACGTTTACCTGCGAAGACCACGTAGCTGTAGCTAAGCTGCGGAGTGTAGCGCGTGTTGTACACACCACATACGTAAGAGCTATACAAGAGGAACGGGAGGTTGTTCGCGCTTTGGAAGAACTGGCTCGTCGGGATGCGGGTTTGTGGACGACGTGTGGTTGTTGTTGTCGTTGTTGTTGTCGTTGTTGTTGTGGTGGTGGTGGGAATGATAGCTTGGTAGTATGTACCATAGTAGCGTCTGCCGTTTTGGTAGTAGTAGTAAGTTCTCTTCACATAAAGCTTGCCATCGCGACCGATGTACGAGTTTGGCTGAACGTTCTGGGTGTAAGAGTTGGGGTACAGATAGCGGACGAAAGAGTTGGGGTAGTAAATGTACCGGCTGCTCCTGGTCAAGTCAGAGGGGGCGGAGCCACCTGCCGCGCTCATGGCTGACGTTGACGTCATGAACACGAAGAGCATGGCAACAAGAAGTAGTGACGTCACGCTGCCACATGCTGTCCATCCTCTGGGAAACATGATGCAGTACCTGTTCGTAATGGGTGAATGGAAATGAGAAAAGAGGGTGGGGGGGG